ATGTTTCAAAGAGTATATGGAGCTTAAACAAAAACCAGAAGTTGAAAGTGATATTTACACAAGGTTAGCTATTTATCAATATAAATTACAAATAGAGAATCTTATCAATAGAATTAAACATATTCGAGAAACAGCAAAAAAGATCAGAGCTATAAAGATTATATAACAAAAATAAATTGAGATTATGTATAAGCCCAATGGTCTCAAAGCTAAAGAACTCGCTAAGCATTATAAATTATTATAAGCAGTTAAAGAAGAAATACTTCAGATTAGTAATGTATAATTATTATATATATCTATTTATTTATTAGATGTAATTTATCTATTTATTTGATTTATTAATTATATAACTTATTCATATATATATCTTTAAAATAAAACCATCTGAGATATTTTTAAGAGCTGGTACTTTAGACTTTATTTCATTATCTTTCCTAAAGAAAAGCTGGTAATATTTTTTTGCATAGAGTAGTTGTTCATCATTTTTCTAATGCTATTTTCAAGATCACAATTAGGTATCTTTTTATCAATAATTTTCTTGCATAGCAAGCTACTTTGAAAGTTTGTGAACAAACAAATCATCTTGGCTCTTTATATTAACTCAGATAGAAAAGTGTTGATTTAAAAATAAAAATCTCACCTTCTTGAGACTTTATCATTCAAAGCCAGAAAAATAGATAGCAGAAATATACATATTATCTCTATATACATTATCCTAATAACTTACACTATATCTTTTTTCTAAAAAATAAGGAAAAAAAGAAATTAATACTAATAGACTTTTCATTCTGTGAAGCAGAACACTTACATGGCTGATTTTTCAGTTTTTTTGAGTTCAGAATTTGTGGACTTAGCTGGCAATGCATTTTTTAGCTTGCAATTTTGCCATAACTCTATCTCTTTTTGTAAATTTAATGGTGTATTAAATCTTAGTCGAATTGCAAGTGGATCATTCTCTGTCTTATTAAGATTAAATACAATAAACTCACTCTTGTGAAGATAGCTATTAATAACTATCAATGCACTTTTTACATTATCAGTATATTGACTAACAATTTTGGAAACATCTTGAAAAGAATTATCACCATTAAACATTAGTATATAAGAAAGATTCTTATATATGATCATTGGGATATGATGGTATTTTTGTGTGATAAATATAAGTAAAATATTTCAATAATGTCCATATGTGAAAAATAGGATAATTCAATTTTGTATAGACTCAAAGGCAACACATAAATCTTCAAAGATAATAACAGTACTTCTTTCAGGAAAGAAAGATTTTACACTAGGAATTTTTTCAGATGAGATATAACTAAACTTAATATTTTTATAATATGATGCTTTTGGATTACTTGCAATTCTTTCATGCATATATCTAATGAAAGCCCATTTTGGTTCATCAGAATGGTATTCACAAACTATCAAATTATCATACTGCATATATCTAGATCCACACTTTTTCTTTTTATATATATATTCAGCTTTGTTACTAAGAACAAAATTTCCAAGTATATTAGTCTTACCTGTGCTACTTTTTTCTGTAACTAGCTTAGCGAATGGCTATGACATTGCTAGATGCCCAATACAGCATGATGAAGCATGCTTTGTAGCCTCATCAATATTCATAAGGAAAAGTTTTATTGGAGATAATTCTGTCTTTAAGTTTTTTGCATGACAGATTGGAAATCCATAACTCTCTTTTCTATAGACTGAATAAAAATTTTCTTTTTCTCAATAATTCACTTTACTTTGTTTGTTTATGATTGGTTTATATATTTCAGAAAACAAATTACCAGAAGCAGTCATACTGTGAGTATAATCTGGCTTCAAGTTTAAAGAACAAGAAGGCAGAGTTGAACAAAAAATTTGTCTGTATATATACTATATAATTAATAATATTATTAAGACAAAAATAACAAACTTAATAAAAGTAGTTTGATATTTATTAACCGTGCTAGCATCTAATGCTATAATAGGTAATTCCTCACTCCTTTCTATTGTAATATTATGAGATCTAATTAGAGTCACATTCTTTATCTCTTGAAATTGGTTTTCTGTATTGATTGGTTGTAATATATTATCTTTATTATTTTCATTAATAATAGTTTTATTACTTACCTTAGAAGTAACCTCAGTATTAATTTTTGAAGATTCTAATATTGGAACAATTTTATCATTAGTATAAGTAGTATATCAATGCTAATTTTTTTGACTTTGTTCATAATTTTTCTGTATACAAAATATTGACTAAGATTTTTGCTAGTTTCACTAACTGCAGAGATATTATTATTGCAAAGCAATAATGATGCAGAGCGAGACTTAGCCTCTTCCTTTTTGGGTCTAGACTTTGATATATTTTTTTTACTATCTCTACTAACCACAGATACCAAAATATCCTCTGATTTTAGATGCTCAAGCTCACTAATCTTAGAATCTAATTCAACCTTTATATTTACCAATTCAGCTTTAAGAAACATTATCTCAGAATGTTTTTTTGATGAGTATTTCTAAGTTAAAGATAATTCTTTTTCCAATAACTTGATTCTAGATTGGAATAAATTCACTTCTTCCAGTTTACTATAATATTTGGCTTTATACTTAGTAAGGTTAGTATTTTTGCTTTTCAACTCTTTAATTTCTTTTTTGAGTTGTTTTTTAATCAAGTTATTTTGATTTTTGTTATTAATGTACTGATTTAATTTTTTCTGAAGATGTAAAATCTTGTCAATTTTTTTCTCTAGCTCTTTAGTAATCACATCAGATTGCACTTTTACAAAAGCTTTAGTATTTCTAAATTTGAAATATTTATTAACAAAAAATTCAGTTTCAAAAAGCAACTCATTGCATTAAGATTCAAGTTCACGTTCTTTACTATCTAATTTATATCTATGTTTTTAAAAATTTTTGACATTAGCAGATTCACTATACAAAGTACATATTGGTGGCATATAATCAAAGAGAATTATATTCAAAGAAAAAAAAACTAATTGCAATTTGACTTTTTACTGATTATGAATAAAAAAGAACCCAGATAATAATTGGTATTTAACTAGGCAATAATTAGGCGAAAGTTAGTAATTAGCTGGGCAAAAATTGATACTTAGCTAGGTGTAAAATAATAATTAACCAGTTTTATATAAAAATAGATCTATAATCAAGTTAGTACTAATTATTTCTCAGTTTTTGTCTGATTTGTATCTGATTATTATCTGATTATTACTCAGTTTTTATCCAATTATATACTAGAAATGAATGGATATTTTCCTAGATTTAAATCAGATATTTTTTTAATATCATTATATATTTTTCTAAAATGGTTAAAACCAAAGGTAGATCTCGAGTTCAACAATATCTTAACCCTACTGCTACTTCATTAACTTCTGAAGCAATCAAAAAATAAGGAATGCTCATGCAAAACAGATACCAAATAAAAAACATATTATATATGCTAATTATAAAATTGGTAGTGAAAGATATGATGATATTGTAAATAGCTAGATATATCTTCAACTACTTGAAATAGAAATAACATCTATAAATTTATCTATCTCAATACCTCAACTAGAAATCTTGCCCATACATAGCTTATCAAGTGCCAGAAATCCTAAACAAGTAATTTCTTTAAGCAAACCAGTAACAAAAAAGACTAGCAGAAAAAAGAAAGTCTTACAGAATAAGGAACTTCCTAGTTCTAATATTGATAAAACAAACTCTGATGTAGAATTATCTAAAAGTGAAGATCGATCAGAATCAAAAATTATAAATCATTTTATTTTATCAATACCAGAAAGTGATGTGCAAACTAGAATAGAAAATTTACGAGAATATAAAAAACAGCTTCAAGCTGAATCTTAAAATTATATCAATTTTTTTTCAAAATATTCTGCATAATCAAGAGCTCTAATAAATTTCTTTTTAATAGTTGTTTTATTTTTTAGATTTTTCATACCTGATATGATTTAAATCTTGGAATAGAATTCTAATCTGTGAAAGAAATCAATTTGTTTGTTAAAATCTATTATGTTTAAAACCATATCAAGCCATTCTTCAGTCTTTATAAGTCACTTTTCAAGTACATTATATTTTTTTTTAAGTTTTCACTATTATGCATATCTGATGTTCGTTGCTCTGATTCACTAACTCCTGGAGGCTTACTAAAAGTTAAGATAGTGTAAGTCTTCCTATATAACTTCATTCGAAATTAGTTTTTACTAGGATTAAGAACACTATGAACCTTTCGAATTTATGTTATACCTATGCATAGCATTGGCTCAGATTCACTATTATTAATACGAGCAAAATTTTCATTAGATGTAACAATCTTACTATCTTTGTTCTTTATACTAATTGGCATATCTGTATACCATCCTAATGATTCAGATATATGTTTGGAATTGCCCTTTATAGCAAAGTCAGAAGGCTTATCAGCTTTCTACTCCAGGGCATTAATTGTTGCATTATTCACTCTCCCAAATTTACTTGTGCTATCTAAAAAGAAATTAGTGATCAATAGATCATTTATATTACAATGCAAGTATTGCAATAATGAAAACCATTTATCTGATTTTGATTCTTTTTCCTAGACTATATGAGACTGACACATTTTACATATTGCCAATAAAAGCTTTGGTAATAGTTCATTATATGTTTTAGGCTGACTAAGTTCTGAAAGCATTTTTTCATTTACTGATACTTGTTTTTTTTTCTAACTAAGATGGAGCATGCCATCTATTCTCTTTCTTATTATATTCACCTTCATTATCCTCATTATCATCTGAATTGGGAGATGCATATTGGGATTGGGAAGGTATTAGAGAAGGAAAGTATCAATATGTTAAATTTGATTTAGCTACAGATTTTTTGAATTGATTTTCAAGCATTATTCTTCCAAATTGAGATATCATTTGACTGATTTCATCTACTTTCGATTCTATTCTATCTATTTTAGCACTCTGGTTTGATGAATATATTTGTTCCAGATAAGGTTTTGAAAAGGCTTTATAGGATGATTTTTCTCTAAATCTTCTGTACTAAATATATCTAAATTATTTAAGTATTATAATAAATGATAATTTTCTATACCTTTTTTCGTTTGTAATGAAGATGGTGGACCTCTTGGCTGTCTAACTGGTTTAACAGTTTGAGGAGCAGTTTGCTTAGCCATTTGAGATTCTAATTCTGTAACTTTTTTTACTAATGTCTGGTTTTTAGTTTTTTGTTGCACTAGTGCATTCTGGATTGCTTTTTGCATATCTTCTAAAGAAATTATATGCCCTTGCTGTTGAGAAGCTGGAGTAACTAGTGGTAAAGAATAGAATACTGTATTTATACTAGGTTAGGCTTGAACTTGATTGGCAATTTGACTTGATTTCTTTAGGATCCTTTCACTTAAATTTTGCTCATGCTTTAGTCACATATTTTTTAGTTCAGTGAAAAATGCATTAATACTTGCAGGATTAACAATTTTTATTCAAGTATAAAAATTGCCTGTTAAATGACTTTTAAGAAATCCCAAAACTTGTGCATCATTGTCTGCTACTTTTAATAATAGTGGTCGAATTCTGGCTTCATAGGTATCAGGAGTATCATAGAGCTGATATCTTTCTTGAGTCAATCTTTGAATAGCCAATTGTTGATTTTCAACAGTTTCTCACTGATATTTTGCTCTTATTCAAGCCCATAATGTATCTGAAGAATTTATTGCTGAATTTTCTACTACAAGATTATTATTTGCTAATACTGGAATATATTTTTCACCTATCATAGTTTTTAAAATAGTACACTTAACTACATTGTCAAAATCTCCTGCATTTGCATTCTCAAGAACTGTCATATGCCCTTCAAGATATCCCATAATTGAATAACTTTATTCAAGAAATTATTAGATGGTTCTTGGTCTGTATAAGGTGAAAATTTTGCAAGAGCAGAAGCCATTAATTTTAATACTAGTAAACATCTAGCATCAGCCATGTTTATTTAATTTGATGAATTATTATAAAGCACCAAAATTTGTTGCTATAAATTTAAAATATTTTGGCACTTTGCATAGGTTTTATTTTTCCATTTTGTATATCGCTCATAGAGTCTGTCTCTATTATATTCTAATAATCTCTTATCAGCTTTGCATTGTTGTAAATAGTAGGCATTTCACTGATACAATAACTGAAAAGCAAAATTTTTACATAGCAATTCACTAATATAGGTTTGTTTTCCTACTATATTATCTATCATTCTATTTACCTAGTTTTGTGCATTAGTTCACAACTGCTAAAAATCAAGCAATGCCTGATCTTACTTCTGTCTGTATATATCTCAGTTCTATTGTACGTTTACCAGATCTTGTTGTAGGTTAGTGTATTTATGTCAGATTGATCTTGTTGATCTTTTAATTTGATTTGTTAAAACAGTTCTATATATTGCTGTATTATTTAGTGATCAGTCTATAGCATTAGCCAATTCAGCTATTGTTCCTATATTATTATCAAAATTATATAAGTCTGGAGAATTTTTATCAAAATCAGAATCAGATTCATTTTCATTAAAATTCTATGCTTGTGCATTTTGTAAAGCTTCTTGTGTATTTGTAAGTTCTAATCTATCTCGATATCTTAATAATGCTAAAGCAAAATTCTAATGAAAAAGTTTAGTAATACAATTTTTTTGCTAGGTTATTTTGTTAATCTTATTTATTTGGTTAGTCCTTATTGTATTTATTTCTCATTTAAGTCACTCATTTTTATTTACTAATCTTGTTGTATAATCTTGTGCTTTAGGGGTATTGCTAGCTGATTTTGATATTTCATGAATTCTGGTTTTTAATTTTGTCTCTCGTTTATTGAATTTTGTTATTAATTTATCCTTATTAGTGATTTCTTTGTCTTTCTTTTTATTTTCTTCTTCAAGTTAACAGACAATTTTTTTAAGTTTTAAGATTTCTTCTAACAATTCCTCTTTGTCTTGTCTAGAAAGTTTGATAGCATTATTTAGTTCTTTTTCAAAAAATCAAATTCTTTCTTTGCATATACCAATAGCTCTTTTCAAGTTATATATGCATTTTTCAATATCTCTGTTTAATTAAGCCAATTGTAAGATTACCTCATGAAGTTCCTGATTAGTTTGTTGTAACTCTTCTATATTTTTTATTACTATAATAAAACAAAGAAATGATGAAACCTGTAATTTATATAGATCCACAAAAAGCATATGAACTTGATTAAAAAATCGCTAAGACTAAAAAAGTTAAAGATCAAAATTTGTCATTACAAAAACCTATAATTATTATTGATCTCCAAAAAGCATGTAATCTTGACCAACATCTTGCTTTACAGAAGCTGTATTATTAGCCTGAGGGTCTTTATCAAAATGTTAAGAAATTGTAAGATACTTGTAAGAAAGCTAGCCATAACTTTCTATTTAATAATATAAAAAATGGCTTAATAGCCAAGCAATGTATCAAATCTTTCAGCCTTCATTGAGACAAATACCTTATGCTAGTTACTCTAAAATCACAAAGCCAAATACTATACACCAGTGTGATCTAATTGAAATATCATATAATGTAGATACAGATTTATTAGATAATGACTCAATATTTTACTATATATTATTAGTTATAGACTGTGCAACTAGGTATAAAGATTTTGTTTTTTTAATATTAAAAAGTAGTGAATAAGTTGAGAAGCATTTAAGAGTATATATGATAACCCTAACAACTCTCTTAACTGGTCTTGGCTATTGCAATCTGATCAAGGTCATGAGTTTATAAGAAATGTGACATTAATAATAGATGAATATAATGTTAATATCTGAAGAATTAAAGCATGTTTTAGATATACAAGCATGGCTATGGTTGATCATTATGCCGAATTATTCGAATTAAGAGTTTTTAAAAACCAGTATGTGATAGAGTTTCTCTTACCTACTGGTAAACTCTGTAGAGAATGTGAATAGTTTGCACGAAAGATTGTTAACAATATGAATGATATTTCAACTCGACCAATTGGAATAAGTTTTAATAATGCCATGAAACTTGAGCAAATATATTCTAAGCCATCAGTAAAATATAATTGTTCAATAGGTGTTAATGAATTACAACTACTAAAGAGTACTATTGTGCGATTCTTACTTGCTAAAGGAGAATGAAAAAATGATCTCTTTGAATGATATAGGATAACAAATTCCATATAGTCTTCTTTCTTATATAAAATTTGAAAAATTGTTGTTAGAAGAAATCCACTAATGCTTGTCTTATACTATTTAGATAAATCGGAACCTCAGCATCTCTTTGTAAGAGAACAATTAATACATATTAAGGAAAAGCCTATATTACCTCTTAGGTGGGTACTGGGAAATAACTAAATGCATACAAGGTACTTTTATAAAAGTTTCTAAGTTAACTATGCAATAGGATATTGTAATAAGGATTATTTCTTTTCTATAACACAATGCTCTTTTTTTCCAATCATGCCAAATTTGTGCATCTAGATTCATTTGTCCTTGTGGATGAAAAAAAGACATGATTTGGTAATATTGATTATCACTATATTCGAAGGCCAAATCTAGCTCTTTATTATATCCATCTAGATGTAACCCTTCTAAGAATTTAGGTTTTCTGAGTAAAAATTTTTTATTTAATAAATCTTCAAAAATATATTGGCATGTTCTTTCTGGTATATTGAGGCAAATATTGCACTACTTATAATTTTGCTTCATATTTTTATATGATGCTTTCCATTGATGATCCTTTTTACATGACCATAAATATATATTAGGATTAATTTTGGCCAAACATCTCCTTTTCTGCCTTTGGGCATATGCTAAGGCTTTAGCATCAATTTCATTATAATTTTGCATTTTATTTTCTAATATTTTTTTTGAATATAAATAAGAAAAAAAAAGATAATGTTTCATGTCAATGTCCAGAACAAGGTGAAGAGGCAAATTCCCATCAATGTATTTATGAATATCAGGAATCTTATAAATTTCAAACAAGTGATCAACTATAATGAAACCCTTCCCTGCTACCTGAATAATATATTTATCAAAAATTTCTCAGAATAATAGGCATCTAGAAGAGTAATATTATCTTTACTATTAGACAAATATTGAAAACATGTATGATCATTATAACTAGGCTAATAATCAAGGTCTGCTAACCTAAGAAGAAAAGCCTTATAGCTTCATTTATTTTGCTAGGATCAGATCTGGGGTTTTTTTGCACAAGCAACATAATAGTATATAGAAAAAACTATTATAAATTTATATAAAATTTTCCAAATCTTCAAAATAAAAAAGTGGGACACCAAGTTAGAATTATATATAGAAAAGAAAAGAAAAAGTTACAACTTGGTATCTTACCAACTTTAGTAATCAAAAGGGTCATAAAAGGCAGAATAGCAAAAATGATACAAATTCAACAATCAAAAGAGTCATGAAAGGCAAGATTATGCATTTGGATTACCAATTCAGCACTTTGTGCCTTATTCTTGGCAACCAAAAGGATCATAAAAGATAAGATTGCAAAAATAGCACTTCATATATACCTCATCTAGCAATTAAAAAATGGCAAATGGATTGCGAAATATTTGGCAAGTAGATAAATTGCAAATTTAGCACTTTGTGTCTTGCAACTGATTGCATCTAAAGAGACTATGCAGGCCAAAACATAGATTTTAATTTTTTTATTCTGATATCCAAAACAGAATTCATGACATGAGCCTCTCTTTACCCAAGCCAGTTTCCAAATCAGAATCTATAATGTGACCCAAGTTAGCATCTGAATCAGGATCCAAGGTGGGCTTGGGATCCAGATCCTCAATACCAAAGACAATCTCTAAATCAGCACTCAAGACAGAGTAAATAAGATAACCAAGACAATCTCCAAACTAGCACTCAAGGCAAAACAAATAAAAAAGCCAAGACAGTCTTCAAACTAGCATCCAAAACAAAGTAAACAAGATAATCAAGACAGCTCCCAAAAGACCACAAAGTGCCAAAAACAGAAACTAGATAACATTTTACTTATAACTAGGCAACACTTTACTCATAACTAGGTAACAACTTAATGTAACTAGGTTGTAATATATATATATTATAATCTAGTTCTAACCTTTGGTCTTAAGTTCATTTACATTATAACATGCTAGTTTTATTTTTTTTTACCCTTTTTCTATTTTTCTTTTAGTGATCTTTGTTTTGTTTTCATATTTTTAGATTCTTTTTTTTTTTTTTTTTTGGTATTAAGGTGACCTCTTTGGTCTTTTGACTTTTATTAATTACTTATCAGTATTGTGGTTCAATGAACTACTACAGAAGAGCGTACAATTGGCTGCATATGTAACTTTTCTATATTACCTATTTAAGGAGTTCACTCAAAGATTCTCTACCAATTGTCATATCTAATACACCTGCTTGGGTGTTCCACTTTAAACCCTTTGAACCTGTAACCTGTGTTAATATTACTAGTTATCTTAGATGTACCAGATCATTGTCCTCAACCTTAGGACTAATTTATTCTTGAAGTAAACCCCCAGAGCCTTCTGTACCTATTTTTACAGCTGATTTAGGTATCACTATGGCAGAACCAACACTTGCAATTAGGGCTAACCATTAAACCACTATGCCTTTGTAGAGTTTACTTAGACCCTAGCATCTACTTCACAGCATAACCCTGGTACTTTAGTATATCCCTGCCTTTTCTCCTGCCCTTTTACCAAACTCCCAATCCAGATAGCCTGTGTAGGACTACAACCAGTCCATCGGTATATCAGGTTAGCCTAATATTTTTTTCCTTCAGTTCGTTTTAGCAGCCTGGTTAGTGGTACCTCTGAGACTTCCAACCTGAAGGTTCTTGTCTGTTTAGCTACTAGAACTGGGTACTAGACCTGGGTATCTGTTTTGCTGAGCTAGCCTTTACAGCAGAGTTATCAAAGATCCAGCTACCTTTCTACTCAGGTCTTTCCAAATAAACTTCTTGTTACCCAATTTCAATGGATTTACACAGCCACAAGGACTTATCTAGTATTTGCACTACCCGATTTGTCAGTTTGCATTCTTTTGTGTAACTCCAACATTGCACAGATGCCCCATGACCTGCCAGTCATGCTGGTGTGACTGCCATTACAGGTATCCTAACCTAATCATTAATAACAGTTGCTATAATATGAATATTACATAGATGATTATCTAAATTTTCACTATTGATGGGATTTGAATACCCAACCTACCACTTGGAGGGTTAACAACCTGACCACTTCACTAGGTCATCACACCCTAAATTCTTTTCTTACTCTACTGTATATTTCTTTATCTTAACAAAAAGTTTCTACTTTTTTTTTTTTTTTAACATCTTTCTTTTATTTTGCAAAAACTCTTTAATCTTCTTGTCTATATTTATTAGTTCAACTATAGCATTCTTAGAAGTGATCAGCTAGGCCACTTCTTGTACCTAGTTGTATTTCTTTTATTTTGTCTAGTTTATTCAAAATTTGGCACAAACATCTTCTACTTATACTGTTTTTACTTGATCTTGCAGGACTGCTTTGGTTTTTTTTTCTTTGGATCATCTTTTTTTACTTCTATGTTGGCATTTCTGTCTTCTAATCATTCTTCTATATTTTGTATCTAAGGGTCTAAACCTATTTCACTATATCTTCTATTTGGCTCTTCTTGCATTGTGTTTCTAATTTTTGATATCTCTTGTCTTTTGCTATTTACTTTTAATCTTTTTTGTTTTCAGCTTCTTGATTTATATCTTTTTTGTACTTTCTTTCTTTTAGAATTTTTCTAACTTACTCAATAGTTATTGTATTATATTGGTGTTGTTTAGGCTTTTTCTACTGCTAAGGCATTTGCAAAAGTGATTATTGCAAACTTTTTTTGATTCTATTTCTGTTATATAGAATGTATACTGCTTTTGTATCTTTGTTTTTTAGGCATTATAACAAAAGCACTTTCAAAGCTCCTTTTGGAAGATTTAACAATTTAGCTATATACTGTTCTTACTTGTTTCTCTGATCATAATCTTCATCTCTATTTGTTATATATACTAATTTGTTGTTGCCAAACAGTAATATCCATGAAATATTTTCTTTTTTTTCTAAGCTTGCTATTATTACTGCTAATGCTTTATATAGTGATCTTTTGACTTGTATAATATTCAAGTTTTTGAATTTTTTGTACATATATCTTATCTCTTTTTCATTATTGTTCAATAGTAGATCCTATATAGTTAACTATTTTTTCTTTTGCAATTCCTTTTCTTTTTCTTCTTCTTTACTATTTTTTTTTACAATACTTTTCTCTATAGAGTTTTTTTTTTTTTCTTCTTTTTTTTATTTCTTTAATTCTCTTGTTCTTCTTGGTTTTTTATTTTTTCTTTTTGTTTCATATTTTTTTTTTTTCTTTTTTTAGTATTTTGTTTCTTTTGCTCTGTTTTTTAACTTTACTCTTATTCTCTTTTTGAATAAGTTTAAGTTATTTATTTTCTTTTCTTTTAATTTGTCCATTACTGCATTTCTGTTATGTTTACAATCAAAATTTATCTCTATCCAAATGTTTTCATTTTTGAATACTTTTTTGATTGTTTTAATATAATAGTTATTTCCTAAGATTCACTAAACATACTTTACTTTTTTTTTTGATTTATTTGACAAAGCATATGTTGGCATATTTGCCTTAAAAAACCTGTTCTTATTGCATATTCTGTTTTCTGAAGACTATTAGCTATGCTTAATTGTACTTACAGAAAATAAGATGCTGTTTTTTTATCAGTTGGTTCTTCTTGTTCTTTTACTTTCATATCTATGTTTTTATTGTTTTTCTCTATTTTTTGTAATAGGTTACTTTTTAGTATTTTAGATTCATTAGCAGTTTGGATTGTTTAGTAGTGCAATATAGTAATACTAAGACATTTTATTTGTTCTTTTAGTATTACTAGCTCTTGCTTATCATTAGTTCTTCTTTCTTTTTGATATATTACTTTATTGTTTGTATTTGTATTATATTTAAAAGAACTTGGATTAAAGCTTATTGATCTAAGCTTTTTTGTTCATTCATCAATTATTTCTTCTTAAAGCTAGCTTGTTTTTGCTAATTTTAAGATTTCTAATATTTGGCTATATACTAGTATGTTATAAGACATAATATGTTTTGGATCATATATTGCTAACTCTTTAGCAATATGCTCTATATTACTTAGGTTTTGTGTAGAAGTTTTGAGAACTTGGTCTAAAATTCTACAGTCTATATATCTTTGATTTTTATCTTCTATTCCTTTAATATATAATATAATATCTGCATTGCTATTTTTATCTATTAGTTTATATTCTAATAGACTGGATCAGAATTTTTCTTTTTTGGCTAGTTAATATCTAGAATTAAGCTTTTGTAATATTGTTAGTATGCTATTAGTACTATGTTACTAATTTTATAGTGATGCTTGCTATTTTTTAATTAGATAATAAGTTTTATTTGTTTGTTGTTATTTGTTGTTGCTACAGTTATCACATATTTTGTTTTTTGTTTTTTTAGGGTAATGTCAATTTCTTAAAAATTTTACTTTTCTTATTAAAATATTGCTGTTTTTTGTTAATATCTTAGTACAGCTTTTTTTGTTTTCTAAACTCTGTTATACTATATATGTTTTTTCTAATATAGCTTTTTTGTTAGTTATTTAAAGAATGTTTGCTAATCTGTTTTTCTGTTGTTCTTGTCTTTTGTTTTTCTTTGTTTTGAAATCAAGAATTAGTAAAAAGAGTTTAATAACATTCTGACTATATTTATTTTTATTATTTTATTTTTATTTTTTTTTGATATTAAAATAACTTCTTTTGGTTCTGACTTTTTAGTTTTTTTTTTTTTTTTTGAGTTAAAGTCCCTGTTTATAGGAGTTGATATTTTTATTCATATATTTGGATACAGATACCTTCAGAGGCTCTCTTACATTGGAGGTTACAACTAGCTACACATGCACTTTTGGTGCCTAATTTAAGTAGTCTGCCTATATATTACTATATAGATTTTACACTAGATGCTATATCTGCAAGCCAACTATGGGTCTTGTCTATTTAAACTCTCTGCATATGTAGTCCATCATGTCTCACAAGAACATCTTCAAGGCTACAATCATTCAAAGTACCTGATGCTTTTAAGTACTCTTAGAACTAGTTTATCCTTAACAGAAAACTTACTAGAACCTTCTGTGTTCTACACACAGCTGATCTAGTTTTATGCAATATGCTATAGTTATCTAACACTTGCAGTCATAGGGGTTACCTGTTTAACCACTACATTATACTATTTCTACACTTGTAAAGTTCACTAGAATCCCAGTACCTATCATTGTGATATTTTCTTCATCATCTCTTATTAACTGCTACTCAGGACTGACAGAACTCTCCTGACTTCCAATCCAGATAGCCCAGTATAGTATACTAATGTATTCTTTTCCTTCAGCGATTCTAGCAGCCTAGTTGGTCATATGCTCCTCTACACAACTTGATATTTAGTTTATCTACTTATTTCTTTAGAGATGTTTTATAGGCTTCTATCAGTCTAATTGTATCATCAAAAGTTCATATTATCTTTTTATTTAGGAATTTCCAAGTAGGCTTTCAACTCTTTGGTTCTTTAGTTTGCTGTGCCTAGTGGTCTTATTATGAGTTTGCACTGAAGTCTTATACAACATCAGTTATTAACATTCCTCTATGTATGTGTAATATTATACTTGGCATAAATGCTCTGAGCTCCTATTCAAAATAGTGTGACTTAAGGTTACAGATATACAAATCCAACTGATCATCAAGAAACAGTTTGCCATAATACAGATTAATTTTCAAATTTCATCGTAAGTAGAATTTAAACATTAGACCTGCCACTTAGAGAATGACAACCTAATCACTACACTAGGATTGCTATCCTCTGTTCTGACTTTTTAGTAATACTTATATTTAACATATATACATATAGATGCATCTATATTGAACTATTAGGCAAGTATACAACTAGTTATATATA